GCGCAAGTTTAATGCACTTTTCACATTAAGTGTCCCCGACCCCCGTCCCCACCCACACTTGAAGTCACTTTCCCCCGTAGAGAACTAACGATCCTCGGTACCCGGAGAACGTTGTACAAGCAGCTGCAGCAGCTCGAGCAGCCCCAGTGCTGGTTCCTGCCCACAGCGGCCCATGTGCCTTTCCCCAGCGCCACCCCCCACTGCTCGGTGTCTCGGGCTGTCCTGGGGCCCGAGGCTTTGCGGAGCTGCTGAGATGGCCACGAATGTGCGTGGTTTGCGGAGCTTGGCCCAGGTCCCCCGCGGCTGCTGCATTCGTGTTGTTTTCCGCTTTGGTGGCACCGCGGGGTTTGGGAGGGTCTGGGGAGCCGCGGGGCTGCCTGGGGCGAGGAGGTCTTTGTAGATAAGTGCTGATCCCTCCCTGTGATCCCCATTATGTCATGGCTGTATTAACATGTAACCGACCGCAGTGTATCTAAAGCCTTAGAACTAGTCAGGTGCTCCCCTCCGACCTTGTTCCTGCCCCTTTCCTCCTACCTGATCTTTAACAAAGCATTAATAATTCTAAGGATAATCTCTATTTTGTTGTGCTTTTTTTGTAACTGTTTTAAATAAATCAATTTGTACTGTATATTTGTACTTTTGGTGAGATCCTTTTTCCTGTTTTACCATTTTAAGTCTGTACTTGGCTACACACAGATTGTATTTTTATTGTTAATGCTCTTATGAATATTGCATTTAACTTGTTGACTCTGTAAACACAGTATATATCTATATATATATATCTATATATAAACCAATAGCTTTTCCTTTGGTGTTTGAGACTTTTTGCTCGTCCGTAGCATCGGTGATCACTAGGATGTGGCTTCTCTGGTCACATATGGAGTGATTCAGAGCCAAGGGCATGGTAAAGGCTGTCTGACAGATGATCATATGCCGTAATTCTGCGTTCAGATGCTTTTGCTTTCATGTGGTCTCTTTCTTGAACCCCCTGGGTAATGATCAGGTGCCAGCAACACTGCAGCTCGCAGAGTGAAGCTGCACCTCTGCCGCACAATATTCGCCAGTGAGAGCAACAGCAAACACTGAGAGAAGCGAACTCGGTTTGAGTACCGAAATGGACAGGGGACAGAACAAAGGTGAGAGCAGAGAACACAGGAGGATGTGGGCAAGGGGACGTGGAGCTCAACAGACCCTTCCCAGATGTGGTGCCCCTGCCCAAAGCGGGAGGCAGGGGTGGCTGCGGGTGTCAGCTCTGTGCGAGGGGTTACGACAGCCTCTGAGGGCAGGAAACACCAGGGTACAGTGGCACATGGAAGAAATGTGGTACCAGAAAGATTAAAGGCTTTTGTAGCAAGCATCCATGGGACTGTGTGTGAGGTTAGTGCATGATCATAAAGAAATGCAGCACTGTGTGGTTTGAAGGCAACTGCTGTAAACATTAACTAGGGCTCCAAGGACTTCAATCAAAGGGAAAAATCAGTTTTCTACAGAGTCTGCCCAAAAGGTTTTGCTTCTTGCTCTAACTTCACTCTTCTGTAGGAGCCTCGAGGTCCCCATTTCTGACTTAATGCAGAGAAACAGCAGTGGGAGAGCAGACAGCAGCTCCGAGGAGTTCAGACCAGACCGTAACTGGAAACACTGCACAAGAGCCGTGCAGCACCAGTGCTGGGTGGGCTGCCCTTGAAACCACCGAGCTGCAGCGTGCGGGTTCAGATGCTCATTCTTAAAGAAACCAAGTAATGTAGAGTTACCTCCCTTTTGAGTCCTGCTGTGCTCATGTTTTGCCTTTTCCAGTTTGAAGAAGCCTGGATTTAATTTCCATAGTTGCATAGTTTCATCATGATTTCTATTAGCAGTGGGAACCCTTTCCTACAGGTACAGGCTATGACCACATTTTGCCTTGGCTACCTCTTGAATAAACCACAGAAGGGTTCAATTCCCTGTCCTCTGGAGGTCTTTCCAGACCCTGTTATTGCCCAGCTCACCCCTTCTCCACGCTCCTCTCGGTTTTGCTGCCCAAAAGCAAGTTTCCTTTCTGCCTCTGTGCTGCTGTTCACTGATGGTCCCCTTGCCATTTTCTGCAATGGCTGCTGAAAGTCACCGTGGGTCACAGAGGAGTTTACTACAAGTGAGTGACCCACGCGTGGCCCTGGACCCGCGGTGCTGCTGTACTGAACGGTTGAACCATCTCAGCTCCCTGCGCAGGCACAGAGCGGCCGAGGTGGGACAGGCCCTGCGGGGCCCCTGCGCCAGCCCCCGCCCCAGCAGCGCTGCCCAGCGCTGTCCCTGCCGAACATCTCCAGGGTGGGAGGCACCACAGCCCCCCTGGGCGAGCTGTGCTTGTGCCTGTCACCCGCACCGGGAAGAAGCATTTCCTGTTAGAGGCAACCGTTGTGTGTCCATTTGTGCCCTACCTCTCGCACCATCTCTGGGCACCACTGAGAACATCCTGGCTCCACCTGCTGTGTGCCCTCCCTTCAGATATTTGTAAAGGTTGATAAGAACTCCCCTCCCCACCAGCCTCCTCCAGGCTGAGCAGCCCCAGCTCTGGCAGTGCAGATGCTCCTGACTGTGCTCCATCCCAGTGGCCCTTTGCTGGGCGCGCAGCTGAGCTGAGCCTCCTGTGCTGGGAGCCCAAAGCTGGGCACAGCGCTGCAGGTGTGAGAGACGGGGAAGGAAACCCATGCAGCACTGGAGCTGAGCGACCCTCACTGTTACCACTCAATTGACTCTTTCACTTGTGAGCTGGTAGTGCTATTTAAGTGACAATTAATTTGTGAGTAAACCAGCAATCTGGTTGGCTGTTTGCTTACCTCAGTCAGCCTTTCTGTCAGTGTTTATATGGGGTATCTTAGAACAGGAACTCCATTTCCTGTAAGTTTTTCCATGGATGCCACTGCAAGTAAGCACACAGTGACACTGTTAAGAAAAGGGGTGTGCACAGCCATTTCCAGGGAGATGACATCCTCTTCTGCTTCCTTTTTACTGGCACAAACTGCGAGGGATTTACTCCTAGAGGAGTAGTGGACTATCGAGTCCTCAGCTCCACAATCCATGCTGCAGTAAATAAGATCCCCTTTCAGGGCAGATGACTTTCTCCTACAGCAGGACTGCAGCAGCCCAGACCTATCTATGGAGAAAGGGACCAAGAACAGGACGAAGCACAAAAGGTAAAGAAGGGGACTAAATAAAGGTGAACATTAATTTATTTCCCTCTGTTCACAGGCTGTCACTTGGCCCCAGAGCAGACTGCATCCTCAGGATCTGCTCCCACCGGGGCTGCTTTGGCAGACGTCTCAGCTCTGTTCTCCCGCTGTGCTCAGGAGACACCAGACCCATCCGTCCAGGACAGCAGCCCAGGCCCGCGGCAGCCCGGCAGTGCCTGTGGCAGGGGCAGCAGAGCTGGCACAGCCCCGGCTGTAGCTCAGTGCAGCGTGCTGTTGCTCTGCTCCTCAAAGGTCATTTTGCCCAGCAGCTGGCTCTCCAGCTCCACATTGCTCACTGGCAGCTGGAAAAAGTTCATTTCAGCTGCCAAAGCGGCCATGGCAGACGGGTCCTGGCCAAACTGTGCCCGGAGCATCATGTCCATTTTCTCCAGGCGCCGCTTGAGCCTCTTGGCCTCACGCTCCCGGATGAGCCGGGCCTGTCGTTTCTCTGGGGTCTCATTTGCGCGCTTCAGTCGCATGGCTTCCCGGTCTCTCTGCAGCCGCCGTGCCCGCTGCTCATCTGTCTCTTGCATGCGCTGCAGGCGCTTCGCCTCTCGGTCCCGCATCACCCCGCTCTTCGGGCGTTTCGTTGCCCCGCCGCCCCTTCTGGGCCGTGCGCTCCCGCTCCAGACGCTGCAGCCGCACCTCCAAGGGCTCATTCTGCCGACGAAGGGCCCACTTTCGCATGCCGGGCGTCTGCGCCTCCAGCAGCTTGCGGTACGCAGCGCAGTTGTTGCACACCAGGAGGATGCCTGCGGGGTACACAGGGCTGTGAAACCCTGAAATGTCCTTCCCCTCGACGCTGGAGGAGCCCTCGCTCCGTGGTGCTGGCAGGCGATCGGCGCTGAGCACCTCTGGCCGCTTCTTACCC